ATTTTAAAATGAAATGGAGATCTTTTTTAAGGTTAAAACCTCATTCAATTTCATGCCTTATAAGGTTTATACTGAGTTCAACATTTTATAACTGTATTAATTCAACTATGAACCTAAAATTTTACAGCCAATTTTGAAAGACTCATCTTTGCTCTGGAAATTGTATTGAATATGTTAATGCTGTAATGAAATGCTTTTTCTAATCATGTGGTTATTAAATAAATAATTTTTTTAAAGTTGATGTATACATCCCATGAAGAACATTTCTGTATTTTCAGGCTATTTTTGGGGTAACAGTCATTAAAGGCATTATATACTATGTTAATTTTTGTTGTCTGGCGAGCCTAACAATAAAGTTCTTGCAATGAAAAAAAATAGTAATGCCCTGCATGGTGGCTCACGCCTTTAATCCCAGCACCAGGAGGCAGAGGCAGGCAGATCTCTGTGAGTTCAAGGCCAGCCATGTCTACATAGTGAGTTCCAGGACAACTGGGGATACAGGGAGAACCTGTCTCAAAAAGACCAAAATAATAATAATAATAATAATAATAATAATAATAATAATAATATTAAGGGATGATGAAAATACTAATGCCCTTTTCGTATAACCAATGAAATCGTTTTTATCTGGAACAGAAAAAAAGGAGAGGAAAGGGGAAAATCTGATAAATAAATATCTGCACATGAAGGATGATAGCATTGCTTCTAAATGTAATCACAGGTTTAAGGGAGAGTCAGCAGGTCTGCTCTTGCATATAGACCAGGAGGAAGTCTTTCTAAAAAGTTTATCTCAGCCTCACTGTTGAACTTAGAAGCTTCACTGTCTTCTGGAGAATTATGTTTTAGTTTGTTTACTTGGACCATTGACACTCAGGAGTTACTCCAGCAAAGGAGCACACCTTTCGGATCTGACTGGAATTCAGATTAATCAGAAATGAGTCTGCTGATCTCCTCTTTGGTCCCATAATTAGGCCAGTACCAGAGGTCAACATGATAGATCATATTTTTATGCGTTCATAAGACTCATACCTCAAAGATAGTCTTTCTCTACCATGAACGTTTCCAGTAATTTGCTTCTGTTTTCTCCCTATTCAATACCATACAAAGGACTATGATAGCTATAGCTATCAGACTTGTGACATGATATATTTGTGTTGAACAAGACACAGCTGAAGGACTGAGATGGCTATTAGTCATCTTTCTGTTACTCTAATGAATTGTTGAGACAATAAACTGACACTGAAGATAAAAATGATTATTTTCTGCAGTTTTTTTGCATGCTTTATTCTCTGATAAATTGATTCTGTTGATGTAGGTCTGACACTGTACACAGCAGAGACTCATGGTAGAGCAAAACCCCTCACATCATGGTCAATAAAGAAAAGAGACAAAGAGTTTCTGAGTGCCAGTATCTCCATAAGACACACGTCCAGTGAACAAAAGCTTGTCCATTAGACCCAAACCTTCAGTTTCCTGCACTTTCCAAGATAACCACAGTGAGAAACAGTCCTTTGAGAATTCACATGAGGTTTTGGAGACATTTAAGATCCAATCTATAACAAGGTTAGCTATGAACAATTAAAAGTATGAATATAGCTTCGAATTATTTTTCTAAGATTATGTTTAATTCTATTCAATTAATATTATTAATGAATATTAAATTAGTAATGGTAACTTGCTATGAACCTGATATTTTTATATAATCTGAAAATTTAATGCCAATATTTATTGAAAAGCTCCTCCTTTTCTAATAACATGTAGGCAAACTTTTTCAATCACAGATAAGCACTTTCTTTTCATTATTCCATCCATAAAATATTGAAATTAAATCAAATCCTACAAAATAAAAGATGTATCTAAGAAAATATTTTCCTCAAAAGTTGTCTCTTCAGAGCACCTTTAATTTCATTATTCCTCAGACTGTAGATGAGGGGGTTCAACATGGGGATCACTACCATGTAGAACACAGACACCACCTTGTCCTGGTCTGTGGAGTAGCTGGATTTCGGAATTACATAAATAAATGTGACAGTCCCATAGAACAAACTAACTGCAGTGAGATGGGAGGTACAGGTGGAAAAGGCTTTGTGCCGGCCCTCAGTGGAGGGCATCTTCAAGATGGTGATAAGGATGTAGATGTAGGAGATGCATATGACAAACACTGTGAACATAATAACAGTGCCAACAGAAATAGTGGTAAGAAATATAAAGACACTGTCATCAGAACATGAGAGTTCAATTAAAGGAGGAAAATCACAGAAAAAATCGTTGATTGTATTTGGTCCACAGAATACTAAAGAGAAGAAGGAAAAGGTATAGGAGGAAGAATTAAGAAATCCAACTACATAAACTCCTATAAGCAACTGGACACAGTCTCGTGTGGACATTTTTGTTGAATAAAGCAGTGGATTGCAGATTGCTATGAAGCGATCATAAGCCATGACAGCCAGAATAAAGCACTCAACTGTCCCAAAGAAAGCACCTGAGCCAAGCTGGACGCCACACCCAAGGTAGGAGATGGTATTTCTCTTCACCAGGAAGTTAACAAGCATGTTTGGTGTGACAGAAGATGAATAGCCAATGTCAGCACAAGCCAAATGGGTCAGAAAAAAGTACATGGGGTGATGGAGCTGAGGGGATACTCTGATTAGCAGGATTGTGCTGAGGTTTCCAGACAGGGCCACCAGGTAGAGGCACAGAATGATGATGAAGAGGATGACTCGAAGGACTGGGTCGTCTGTTAAGCCAAGTAAAATGAACTGTGTCACCGCAGTGTGGTTCCAATACTGCAGGAATGCCATGGGACAGTGTGGCTGCTGCCAGGACAAAGCTGTGATGAAGACATTATGTGAATGAATTTATAGCCGTGGCATCATTTTCATTAATGATGAATACATATAACGCACAAAAATCTTGGGCTCGCTTATAGACTCTGAAAATAAAACTGAAGGATTAAATATAAAATCAAAACCCTGCCTAAAAATAATTCAAAGAAGATCCAAAAAAAAGCAGAGTAAAGCCTGTGCAGTTGGCACGAAGACTAATAATTAGTGTCTTTATTCTACAAAGATGCTGGCCAAGCTAAAAGGAAAACACTAAAGGCAGAAAGAAAAGTGACTGAAAAACAGTCAATCCAGAGAAAAGAGAACGCTCTATCGGCTTTCCAGAACTTGTTTAAACTCCTTCAAAATCCAGTTGCTACAATTAGATTTTTCTTTCAATTAGTAAATTTTTCATTGAATTGGGTGTCCTATGTAAAATGAAGTTCCTTATTAAGTACTCCATCAGCCAATAGTGATTAACGCAGTCATGTGGTATACTTTTTTACCCTATCTTCTTAGATCTGCATTCTTTGTAACTTGTATGTTTTAGTCTTCAGTCATTGTGCTGTAAAAGTGTGCATGTAAATTTTTGTGCTTTTTATTTGGATGCTATGATTCTTATTTTTCCACATTAAAATTTATTCATTTAAAAAAATTGGGCTCACAACTGAATTTTTCTTCTGAATGCTTAGTGTGTGTATGTTAATGTGAAATTAATCTGGCTTAAAATTTTAAAACACGAATGCTTCAAATTTATTTCCATTTCTTGTCTGTAAGTTTATATACAGTAACATATTCATTTTATAGCTAAAGATTGTAAAATGAGACACTTATGCAAATAAAAAATATTTAACTACCACTTAAGATTAAAATGTAGAAAGATAGAATTATGTAATGAACA